TTATGCATAATTGGCACATTTTGTATCTTGTGATCCCAACACAATGGTCTGCACTGACTATTGGTGTTGACCTTAAAATAATCATGTATGGACTGTGTGATATGATAGAGTTCTGGCCCATGGAGCCCTATATGAAATATAATCAGATCTCTTTTAAGAATTTAATATAAAACATTAAAAAGGTAAGTAAAGCAGAAGAAACAGGAACAGAGTTTAGCAAATCCTCATTTAGTCATGTTTAAAACAAAAGCTCTAATGCTCTCCTTTGCACCTGGAAGGTATCCCTAGAACAACTCAATGATCTGAGTAACATTAGTTTTCCATGACGCTGGCTATGTCATTGCTGGGGGGCTGTTCTTTCCTCATTACTCCTGTGTACCCTCACAAAAACCTCACTTAACTAAGTGCTATCCCTTTCACTCTTATCTTTATGTTCATTACAATCTAAGTCCTAATAGGTAATAACTACTGGAGGAGTGCTATAACATACTCAGCTTTATACCTCCCTATAATTTGGAATATTACAACGATGCACTTCCATCTGTTTTGAAAGGTATTTTCAGTCCTCAGTACTACAAAGTAACTTTTGCCAAATGGTCTCTAAATTACTAGATTTAAAAAACCTTGAGATAAGTTTAATTTTAAGTTGAAAATAAAAAATGATGCAAGTATATACACAGGGCAACAAAACAAACATTGGTAGGAAATTACAATTTCAAGAGATAAGATCCTAGGGTTCTAATTTTCATCTAATCTTGCTATATGACATTTGAGAATTCCTGGCATTGTGTTATTTAACCTAATGTCACTCTTAAACCGTAAAATAAATATATTATATCTGTAGACAGGAAACAGGTGATTTTCTGGAGGTATTTTCTACCTCTAAAAGACAAAGATTCTCTCATTCAACTAAAAAGATTTCAACTATAACACACTCTCGCTTGTTCCTGGGACAAGAGGAAGAATGAAGACATACAATTTGACAAACGGATACATCAACCAACACAAGAACATACTTTATTTCATTAAAATCCCGATCCATCAAATCTTTAAAGATAAATAAAAGTATGGGCAGTATAAGAACTAAATGTTATTAATCTGGGTATAACTGAAAAATGGTTTGTTCTTTTTAATTGTGTAAAGGTTGAGTGGCTTTCATTAATCATACCCCCCAACCAAACCACAGTAAAAATTAACACTATCAAAGAAGTTGAAAAATGTTTCAATGCTTCATGTATGATTTATCTATTGCCTTTTATCTGAAAAAGAAATTTCTCTCCTCTAGTGTTCCTGTTTACTAGGTGTATTACTAAATTTTTTCAGGTTGCAACTATTTCCCACTGTGCTATTTTATCAATTTAAACAATTCCCTAAATTAATCTCATTAATTTTAAAAGGTCACCACAGATATATAAAATCAAAATGATTTTTAGAAAAATAATCTTATACGATATCAAGACGATGGCTCTCTTTTTTT